CCCCGGTGATCGCGCGCGCGGCTTCGTTGCACACGCGCGTGTCTTAAATTTCGATCTGGCAAATCTAGCGTGTCGACGATTAACGACCTCCGGAGGGCCGTCTAGCGCGACGTGGTTCTTTATTATCGGCCGACCCCTCGCGGTTGTTTCTGCCATTATTGAACGTTTCATGAATAATGTATCAATTTTTCTATTGTGCCCCAATTTTAAATTATTTTCAATTGAGTATTGAAATAAAATTTTATTGTGATCGTTTTCTTTGAAGAATACGTGCCTCGATTACTTAATGTAAATACAAAAATTTCAGGCTTTAGGAAATATTTTATTCCATTTAGTTATATTATCGTTACCTAATGTTTGCACATATTTATTGCTTAATAATAAAATTAGATTTTAAATTGTTATAACAAATAGAAACATATTTATTTCCCAAAAGGTGCACGCTCTTCTGTGAATTAAACTTTCCTCTTTCATCGGTTTATGTTCGGGTCCAACTATTTTCGCTGTTGCAATGACATATTGCATTTTCACTTACTGTAAAACGATTATAAATCGGTTCTACAATTTCTACGAGGAATACATGTGTGCGGTCCTTACAAAATCGTAAAACTACACGACTCTCACTCGTTCACGAAGCTGAAGATGTTTCGCAGCAATGTTAACGTTAACGATCGTCGCGTTTAGCGCAGAGTGCATTATGCTACATCTCTAATCAACGATAAAAGATGTTACTAATGTGCACGGCAATCGTTTACCATCGCATCGCATATTGCTGGAAAGTTGCGATGACTCGTTAGTTCTCCATTAAAGATCTCGGAGCGAATCGTTCGGTCAGGAGTTGAATTCGACACGGAGGATTCGTAATGTGTTGAACCCATTCTTCTGCTACTACGGCTTAGAAAGCTTACGGCGTGCAATAAATGCATCACACGGAACGTAGTGAGTTATTTTCCGCGCAAGTTGCGCGTTCATATGTATTACACGATACAAGTGGAATACGAAAATGAAATGAAAACGAAACATGTATTTTAAAATTTCTTCCCTTCTTGCGTAATCTACAATTGCGGCGAATGTTCCCATTACGAAACAAATAGGCACTCGACCGCAATATCATTTTTTTTTTACGACAAAGCTAATTTTCATTGTGAAACACGCGATATCATTATCATAAGGCACGTGCCTTTCATAAACACTATATGCCATTAAAACGGTTTTACGTGCGTGATCGTGCATTCACACGTAAAATCACGCAACGCCGTCAAGAAAAACGAGCATTTGCGTCAGTCAATTAATGCACAACGACGTTTCGTTAACAGTTTTCCCACTCCGAGGAAACTTTATTACCCCGTCGACTTCTCGCAAATCGCCGCGGCTATGCATTTATGTCTCTCATTAAGAAAATGTGTGTCGATAAAAGTGCAATATTGAGTGCGAATAATGTAACTTGCGCGCATAAAATTGATAGACTGGCAGATATGAAAAGAAAATTTTACGATTGTTTCTCGCAATAAGAGTGTAATAGCAAGTAAATATATATTGTAGAATAATTTTTTTAATAGACAATAAAAATCCGGGATTTAAAGACTTAATAAATTTATATTTTAAGTAGCGTAATAAATAACATGCGCTAAAATTTCTAGTGAAAAGTATACACTGAAAGAGATTAAGGATACAGCAGTCCTCTTGAGGATCATTACGCTCTCGTTGTTATTGTGATTGCGATTAATCCGTGTTATTAAGCGCGTCTAAATACTGTGCGAGCGATAATGTAACCTTAAGTTGACCACCCTCCCAGAGTATTCTCTCTCTCTCTCTCTCTCTCTCTTGAATAATTATACTTTCCATTGGCGGCTAGTAATTACAGAATACCGATACGCCGCCGTGGGAGAAACAAAGATAGCTATCGCGTGGGGGGATGGTTCGATGCAATGGTAGGACACTCTGCCGGGATCGAGCGCGGCTATCGAAGAAAAACAAGTGACAGGCGTTGTTAATTGGCAGCTTCTAGATGGCAATTAAGATTAATAACAAGCTAGCAATCGTTTCAACTGCCAATACTCCGTCGCGCGTGTAAATGTATAACATAGATGCGCTTGCGACAGGGGCCGGTTCTACATCCGCCAGTTATCCTCGTGAGTAAACTGATTTTTTTCTCGATTTCATGTACGTTTAATTCGTCGACTAATACAATGTTGATCCTTTACACGATCTATATTTCGTGACAGAAATTGAGATTTTTAAATAATTTTGTTTATAATTTTATGTAATTGAAAAATTTGAGGAATATAAAATGTATATCACGGATAAAATATAAAATAAATTTCTCTGAAGCACCAATACTGTTTGTGAGTATATAAGGATAAACAAGTTCATCGATAATAATATGATATATGCAAACTTGAAACTCTCACCATGCAGTCAGATATATTAAAAAGATAAAGTTATCGAGCTTTTTTTGAGAATTTTGCTTTTGTACGAATGCATCGATCTCTCGGATGTCATTACGATTATCGCGCCGAAATCAAGCATCTCCGCGGCCGTCGCGCGAAGATCTTATATGGCTTCTTACGAAAAAGGATATACCTCGTTCCGACATCCATAACGGATCGTATCCGTGCGTGTGGCAATCAGTTTCTGTCTCTTTGATCGCGTCCTAAATGCATCATCGCGCATTAATGGCGGAGTTCGCAGGCGGTGTCGTAAGCCATGCAGACTGCTTTCCGATAAATATCGATAACGCCACAGCATGAATAAAAATTCCGGCAGAATTGTGTTAATTGACGTTGCTGATTATGCGGCACGCCTAGGTATAATTGATTCCGCTTATTTTAATTTTTGATTTTTTTTCCGAGAATATCTGCGCAAAGTCCATTAAGAGATTTGTTTGATACAGTCGTTACAAGAAATTATTCTTGTATGTAGAAATATAAAATTCCGTTATAAATACTGACATAAATGGGATTTTGTCAATATTGTGACAATATTCGATAAAATCTTCTTATTATAATGCTTTTATCGTACTCTAAAAAAATTTATGATGACAGCACAATAATAGAGATACGTTTATCGTGTCGAGAATGTATCGCACATTTTTGGATATGTTAATCAAAGAGAAATTGGATATACTGTTCATTGCGTCATTTTTTTCTCTACGTTCCAAATTCTCTCGCGATCACGCTATCCTTTTGCGAAAAGATCAGTTTGGCTGTGTATTACTTATCGGCAGGTCCGCAATAACAAAATACGGCGAACCAGTCGTTCTCACTTTCGAATTCACTCTCACTCTGCCTTGAGAGAGCCTTTGCACCTGCGCCGATCGGGCCATTTTGGGCCCGATTTTAATTCACCTTTAAATGGAGACATCGGGTTACTTTGTTTCCTTCTTTGGCTTTCGCGTATCGAAATACGCACAGTCTTTTCTCTCCGATGCTTGAGCCGATGAACGACGAGGTCATACGTCAATCATGGCTATACGAATGCTCGGTTAGTCGGATCTGTTCGCGAATTATGCAATTTCACGAACGAGTTTTTGAGGCGTTCAAGGTAAAAAGATCCGATCTCGGCCGTTCCTAATGCGATATCAATGCCGAAATATTGCAAACAACGCGTGATTTAAAAATAAAGTTTTATAGAAATATACCCTTGCGTTGAAAATTACAATTTAAATATTCGACTTGCATCGCATCCTTTCTACATAGATAATAAAAAATATTTTTAAGATATTTCTCGCGCTTTAATACACTTTTAAGATGATAAATTGCCATTAATCGTCAATCGAGACGTCTTATCGATCTTGCGTTATTGCAGATTCGTATTTTTGAAAGATGCAATGTGCTTTCTAAGATGTCAGCTGCATCATCGTGCGGCCTGAGGCGATAAAGATGCATTGCTTCCGTGACTCGTGCAATTACGCAGACGTTATCTCTGAATGCGATAGCAAACCATTGGATTTATTCACAGAAGAAAATACACATGAAATATTGATGTTAGCGCGAAAAAATGAATGGTATACTGTCATAGGCGCGACAATAATGAAACATCGTTGCGCGATACATCGATTGCGCAAGCTATCGTGATAGTGCCATGAATGACGAGATCATGCTCATCATCTAACGATCGTCAATTAACCGACCAATTCCGAATACACTGTGTTCATGAGAAGCGGCGATTCTGGCTTTGAAATTTGCATCCTTTATGCCTCATTAAATACCTTCGCCGTAATGCTATCTTAATACGTGTAGATTCCATGCGTAGCTATTAGCTTACGAACAACTCTACGTGAGAACAAGAAAAAAGTACAGCTGAATATTATTATAAAAGCGAACGTTTTAATATTATAATATCATAATATCAAAATATTCGAGATGTTGTCTTAATAGATATCGGCCTTCGAGAATCTTAATAATAATCATACTACTAATTGTAAGTGATAAGCGTTACATAAATACATGTGTATATTATAATTTTATAATTCATATAATTATTACATATTTATCAGCTGTGTTTTTTTATTTTATTGCATAAAAGAGAAAGAGAACAAACGAGCTTAGCGCGAAATGCTTCTCTCACGAACAGTAGACGACAAATAATATTAGCAGTTAAACATGAAAAGTATGCACATGCGGTGAAACATACGTGATAATGGAAAACATATTTTTTGGGAAATGTTTTATTAAACTATACAGTCTTATTTCGGACGCTGTTGTAATGTAAATGTTTTTTTGTTTTACAGATAAAGTGTAGTGTTTCTTCAGTGTAATCGAATTCGTTTCGTCGTTATTCCGTTGTAATACCGGTAGTGTCATTATGCCGAGAGTGCCGATTTTAATTTCGCGCGATTTTAAATCGAGTTTTAAATCGCGATTTTAAATCGAGTTATAGACGTCGGGAGTGCCATTTAAAGTGTCGCGCGAATTTCGGGTTCGCGCGCGAGCAATGCGCGCGTGTCGCGAACGCGTGTGTTTTATTCCGTCGTAATACCGGGAGTGTCGTGAAAATTTCGCGCGATTCCGAATCGTTGTATTCTAGTGAATTTATAGACGTCGGGAGTGCCGTTTAAAGTATCGCGCGGATTTCGGGTTCGCGCGCGAGCAATGCGCGCGTGTCGCGAACGCGTGTGCTTTGAAAAACCAGAAGAAGAAGAAGAAGGAGACTTAGGAAAGGCACCGGGCGATGGTGGAGCAACGTTGTGGTAAGTAATTTATAAAAATTATACGTCTCGTAAAATTATGCGAATTTTTGTAACGATGGTGGAGGGATTTAACTTTGTTTCTTCTGACATAAATAACAAATTTTAAATGTTAAATACATTATTGCAAAGCGGAGATTTTCGCTTTCTTTCTTCGGGCAACACGAGAACAAATCGGTTGATCGCTTTTCCACGACAGACACGTCGTGACGCAAAACATCGTGTTTCTCGTAAGAAAATAATTGCACGGTTTTCGCGTCCGACCACGGTCCGTTGACGTATGCACGAGGGATTTCGTGTCGCGGAGAGCATTGGGGAGGCCGCCGCTCGTTTCATTCGTGCAACAGTGTTGTAAATACGTCGCTTGTCAATGACCCCCCGAGAAACTCTCACTTCGGTCTGCCCGCTCCCTTTTCCCATTCGTTTACTAACAAATCTTGTTCTACGTTCGTTCAACTTTTTGCGCCATTTTAACATCGTGTGTTCAAATTAATTTAGAAACAAGTTTAAGAGAATTAATAATTTTTCTGAACTTTTAATGTCCAATCTAATTCTTTAGATATTCGGATAATTTAATATTTTTACTATCCAAAGTTTTATTCATTTTACAATTTTATGTCTGTCATATTTTCGATGTTTGGACATTTAAGTAATATCTTGAATATCACTTTTAAAAAACATAAAAAAATTAAGTAATCTACTTTTAAATTTTTATATTTACCATAATAAATAACTATTTTTTAACAGTAGCTTTTAAGAACATTGCTAATTTATGAGATATTTTAATTTCTCTCAAGTGTCTATCTTGACACTGTCTAGCTTGTATTACCTCCGATAAAAATGCTCTTTATTTTTCTTTTTAAAGAATCCTTCTTTTTCTCTCGTCTTTCCTGCTACCTTTCGCTTTTGTTCTACTTATTTTTTCTCTTTATTTTTATTCTTTTGCAATATTGCTTACTCTCTCTTTTATTCATCGTCTTTCTTGCGATATTCTTTTCAGTATTCAGTATTGCAGTTTCTTGCACCGATACTTCCTTCACTGTCGCGTTATTCAAGCTTTTGATACCGCGATGACAAGGCTCTTTACTTCTTTCCGTAAACGAGTGTTGACAATATATAAGAATATTTGCTATATATATTTTTTTTTCTATTATATATATATATATTACATGTAAAATTTTTTCAATTTTGTAAGGATAGCAACTTTTTCAATTTTGTAAGGATAGCGTGCTCGCATTTGCGATAATACGGCACGTAGACGAGCCAGCGCGAAATTGACAGGTTGACACTTTGACAGATTTCACAATCTGCTTTCAATGCCGCTTTCGGGGAAATGACGAGAGTGAATTTGCGCAAGAAATTGCGACGGTTTTGCAAGTGCGGTACGGCACGATGTCGCGTCGGTACTCTCACGCTAAGAAGCTGCCGGCTCGGCGCGATGCGTATCCGCGCGGGATGGAAAGCGTGGGCTCGCGCGAACGCACATACTGATATATTTTGTCGACCCACGCGCGCCTTCGCGAACGACATTCCTTTCGAGATGGAGTCACCTCCGGAGTGCTCTCCGCGCCGGCCTGGGACAAGTTGATGCCCACGTATGTACGTATATACGCGATCGACGCGCCGAAGGAACAGCTGTCGAAGCGCGAGCACGATGACAAAGAAACTGTTACGATTAAAATTCCCAAGAACGAGGATACACGTCACAACGACCTACTTCGCGCTCCTTCTTCGTCACCGCGATATGGCGCGCGAGAACGTTACCGTACTCCATTTCCAAGGTTTATTTTACATATCAAACTGGAAGTGTAAAACATTACCAGTTCTATACTTAGAAAACAGATTGAGCAAGAGATTGTCAAGAGAACGTGAGAGATATCGCGATGTCTCTATTCTTGTAGCAAATTTCTTTAATGTTTATTCAGACACTGAGTGTTTGTTAACATTTTTAACTATGTACTTATGATATATATTAATTTTCCAAGTAGTGTGCTGATGGCACACTTATCTGAAGCACAACGATTGCTGAATGAATTCATTCATTATTCTTGTGCGTAATCACACGCAATGTGGAACATTCGTAATTATTTGCAGTAGTATTTGCTAAGAAATAATCACTCACCGCGAATGATTCTGGCATGCGGAAATAGTGGTATTTAGAATCCTTTTGCATACCTGCAACAGAAAAGAGAAATAATCTTAATGCGAAATTCAGAAATTCCTCGAAAGATCGGTCGACCATTCATCTCGGCATTTCGGAATAAAAGTAGATATTAATGATCTGTCAACGGGCAACTTTATATCGTTCGTTGATGAATGCGCCGTCGGGTTGATCGTAAGTACATCTAATTATTACCTTGAAAACCGCAAGGACATATGGTCATTAATTTATAGCTATATAGAGGCCACACGGGTTTAATATTTTATTTTTCTGACAACATTTTATGTCCGCAATATATAAGTGAAGCAAAAACCATTTGATATATATAAAAAGTATTTTATACATTATTTTATAAAATAACAAAATAAGATATAAAATAAAATAAAATATATTTGGAGTTAATTAATTTTAAATTTTACTAACTAAATTTAGAGTAATTACATTAATTATGTTGATTAAAAAAAATAATTTTCTCGTATAACAATGTTATTTTTATCTTGAATTACTAAATTTTATGGTTTGGATATGCTTTGTTAAGTTATGTATTATATTTTATGAATTAATATGTATATTGGGCGCACGGAACCGCCTTCACTTGATCGATGCTTGCGATAAAAAGATAGTGTTATACTTTAGAGATGTCTGACCACTTTCTCAGATTTCCACTAGCATCTAGTCAGATAAATATCGGAAGTACGGATATATATCAATCTCGCCGGGATTACCATCTACTCTATTGCAAACATGATCACATAAATGTTTAATATGTTGCTCTATCAAATGATAAGTCATTAATAGTAATTATTAATGGTTAAAATCTAACCATGATTATATAGCGGATTATAATTATACCGCGGTAATTATTTTTAATCGCATCGACAACGTTTATCTCGGTTGTTTTACATAAAAATACAATGTTGCGAAGAAATATGACGTTTATTAATCTTCGCAGATTATTAAATTATTAAATATCTTTCAAATTATCTTTTATCATCATCATCAATTTCGCATTAATTCAGCGTAATGTGATAACTTGAAATTGCCATTTCGGTTAAAGTAAACGGCGGGACGTCTGATATATGAGCCCTCGTTTTTACCTTGCAGTGTTTTCCGCAGTCAATCTCATTATCCTTAATTATATCTCGCGCTAATTGTCATGTCCTGGGGAAACGCTTAAGGCCGATGACACGAGGAATTGCTTATTAAATCTTAACCCATTAATTCCGCGTGTGGAATACCGGTGGCGGGCGGAAGCGGCGACGCGGATCTCGAAACGGAAAAACGGCGCAAGGGTGCCGCGCTTCAAAGCGCGGAAGCGATCTCATAATGTTCATTGTCGGGATGCCGGTAACCACGCACGTGGACAGTCCCCCGGGATTTGCATAATGAGAAATTATACGTGCGGCAACAGCAAGGCATCGCGGTACGCGAGTGCGAATGTATACACGCGCAGGCACGGAGATCCTCCGAGAGTATAATGATTGTCGGTTATTTATATGGCTGCTGAGCTCTGCCTATATCTTGCGCGAATTACTTCGTAAATTCAATGAGCACCCGAGGGAGTATAAGAAAAAAAATGCGAATATTATAAAAAATACATGTTATTTTTAACAATTCTAAAACAATCTTCCGACCATTTTAAAATATCTGTCGTATTTCTGAGAATTATCCGCGTATATTTGTTTTATTCTTTATTACAATATAATTTTCCATTTAGTTTTTCCCATTTTACTATGTTAATAGAGATTTAAAAATTGTTTTGTAACAGAATCTCAAAATAAATTAATTTTTCAGTGAAGCGCACTCATTGATTTTAATATTCAAGTATTTCCAGTTTTTGAATTACACGTAAGTTGCCACGATTGATTTATGTGTTAAGTAAGAAAATAAAGAACAAACGAATTGATTAAATGATTGATTATCGCGCATCGATATTTATATATCTTTAATGACTGGGTGAAAGTGTCGATATTTTCAAGAGTCTGTCGAGTCTCAGTTACGCGTGTACGAGCACGCTACATGCGAGGTACACGCATACTTATGCCCGTGGAAAGAAATCGCACGTTCGACGGGAACGGCACTTGCTCACGCTTACCGGAGCAACTCTATTAATTACTGTTAATCGCGGCAATTAATCGCGCGACGTCGAGTGCCATCTCCGGATGAGTTACTACATCGAGCACAGTGTAGTCGTAGCTCACTGTCATTGGTACGAGTTTATCGTTCCTTATCGGGGCCGTTTACCACGCCCGGTATCAGGTCTTCCGGCCGAGTCTGTAGCACGATGTTACAACCACTCCGCGGTTTGTTACGACCCTGTCTCTTCCATAAGCCGTCATGTCGGCAACGCGCGAAAACTCGTGCGAGAGCGAGTTTCTGAGCCGGGAACGTGTATGCGTAACGAGAGGCGGAATAATTTTCAGTATCGGGTATTTAATCATTAAACCAAGTTTTCAATCATATTTATCTCCCTTTTGAACATTTATATATTCGAGATTCGTAATTATAGTCAGAAATTTTAATTCAATAGATAAATTTAAAAATATAGAGGAGAATATTATATCATTTAATTTAGAAGGAAAACATTAATTGTTTGAATTATGAATTATTTTTTAAAATTTAGTTTATAATCAATGACGATGTAGACACCTCAAAACTGATCACAGAGAAATGTATCCTAGAAAATCCTTTTAAATTATTTGTAACATATAGAAGTAATTTATGAAAAATTGTTGAAAGATGTTTAGCAAATAAATATGTGTGGTGGGAGGTAAACCGGTCCCGTTCGGCACCGTTGACGTCCGAACCCGCTGTCGTTACGCGAAAACTCGAGCGAACTTCT